GACTCGTCGTTGACTTGACGTTGACTTTGACCGGACCCATATGTTAGTGACCCGAGAGTCCCTGGACCCACCTATCGGAATTGATGACGTCGCTGACGTCATGCTGACATCAGCTGGACCCCACGTGTCAGCTCGGAACCGAGATGCTGACGTCAGCATGCCACGTGGACCAGTCATAGCGTGACACGTGTCAGCCCAGGATTAATTCAGCCTTCTTCCATTTTCAGAAATGATTTAAACTTCAGAAATTCATAACTAATTCATATGACCTCAGAAAAATACAAAACCAGGACCAAAATTCATCTAAAATCAAGCTCTACGCAATGAACCCATGTTTGAGTGCATTTGATTCTTTTGAATTTTCATGGCTTCTTTGTGCTATTCTATAGGTGTCGCTAACGCGACTATAATGCGATTCTTTGCAGACTCGGAGGAGAATCGGACGGACGAGGATCGTGAGTACCGTGAGGAGTACGGAGACGACTACACTGAAGGTGCCACATCCCACCCAATCTCGTAGCACCTATTACGCATGGCTAAAATAGAAATGCTAGTGCTTTACTTCATTGTTATAATCACACTATGATAGGACTTGCATGGTAGTATGCTTTCTTGATGGCCTTTACCTTGACGCAACCTTACCCCTGCTCACCCTGCTGTTAGGCTAGTCACACGCTTGCTATTATATTTCCTTGCTTATTACTTCTACAACGCTTGCACTACATTGATGCGTGGTGGAAACTGGTGTTATCTGGACCATGGAGAGAGTGCTGCGTGTGTGACTTGGGTGCGTGGAGGGTGAGGGTTGTGTCGACCAAGTTGGAGTATACGACGTGCCTGGAGCAAGTCTTGCCGTGGGGTGCTACCTGGGCACCCCTGGAATGGATACCTGTGGTGGGTAAATGGTATATGAGGTGGCCCTGGGTGTGAACCTGTGATGGGAGGAGCCCAGGGTGGAGGTGCTGTGGTGGCACGGTAAATGGAAACCCTGATAAAGACATTCTGGCTTGGTCATCCCTAAGGACTTACTAGTACTCATATTCACCGAGAAGCCTTACATACCACTCGCCCTATATGGTGCGGGACGACCGGACTACTTGGTAGGATTTTGCCACTACTGCTAGGTTGTTAGCGGACAGTGTGAGGGAGGTACGGGGTGCGGAGGATTCCCCCCACACCCTTCCGAGACTTCATGGAGACCTTGTGGACTCGGTTCATGACTCACAGTTTCAGTCACCCCAGACCAGACTTGAGGTGTACCGGGGCTGAATGGTAGAGTGGCATTATCCTAGGCTAGCAAGCGGCCGGAATCAGCCCAGTTGACGACGATCAGCGAGGAAGACGGATCTTGTGGTTATGTAAAACCTCTGTAGAGTGTATGGTTGATCGATCGATACATATGCTGACTTGTCGGCTATGGACCTTTCCTGGGTTTCGCTTAAACTAGATAGTGAGATAAGTCATTCTCTTCTTCCCCCGGGAATGAGTGTTCGGACGTAGCCAGGGGCTACGGACCTTGAGACAGTGCCGAGAGGGAGTTGGCCTGTCGACTGAGTGATGGTATGTGTCTGGTATGGTGATGGTGTAGAGATGGTGGTATATTGATCCCAGGATCGAAACCTGGCTCTGGAATGGAAATGGGGTGGAATGGGTGTGGGAATAGTGTTAAAACTTGACCAACTATTATTAAGTACTTAATATGCTAATACATAGGAAACCCCAGCCTTATAGGTTCCTTTTGATTATACCCAACTTGTATCCAATTTCCACAAAGCAATGCCCATAGGGTGGGAGTGGCCAGTACAAATCGTACTGATAAATTTTGGCACACAGGTTCTGCTGAGGAGTATAGCTCCGAGGAGTTTGATGGTTGAGGGGTTCGTTCCTACGCTCGAGTTTGGCGATCTTATCTTCAAGCTGTTCCGAATGAATGCTACTTTTGATTCCGCCAATGCGGCGATGTAATAAATTTATGTAATTCCGCACTATTTGTACTCTGATATTATCGTTGTATGGATGTGATATTCGACTGGAATTTGGGTAATATGATCTACAACGGTCTTATTACACTTTGACTTTGTGGATTTCCCTTCGTGGAAATCATGTCGCTTCAAACACTCGAGCGACGTAAAGATTTACCATTTTTTAAACGGGAGACAGAAAATACCAGCGATCACTTAGCCCTTGTTTAGTTCTCCAAAAGTGCACTATGCAAAAAGAAGATTCCCCGTTACATCAAATTTATGGTACATGCATGGAGTACTAAATGTAGACGAAATCAAAAACTAATTGCACAGTTTGCTTTAACTTTGCGAGACGAATGTTTTGAGCCTAATTAGTCAATGGTTGGACAATAATTTACAAATACAAATGAAATGCTACAGTGGAGAGTCGTGCACTATGCAAAGTTTGCAGCCGAACTAAACGCGCCCTTAGAGAGTAACAAGAGTTGCGGTGTCATTATTGTCATCATGTCATGCCAATGCCATGTCATGCTTGTGGTGACTGTGTGTAACACATACTTCTACGATGGTTTGAGTTTCACATTTCTAGCAAATTATTCTTGTTTCGATTGTAGGCTTTGTGATCGCGTTTGTGATCGAGACACCCTGTGGCTTCATCGATCTTTACGCAGGTCCCGGACTAGTCTTCCAAACTGCAAAGGAATGCATTCATAATGGAATCATCCCTTGGCGCATGTGCATCCGCGATAGGTCTCTGATGATGGGCACAGAGAGATAATTGACGACGAGGAGCATGGATGGCTGAATTCCTGTATGAGGAGAGGACGATCTGCTGTGCCTTGTGGGAGCGTCGAAAAGTCACGAGAGGGAGGAGGAAGTGGCAGGCAAAGGAAGAAGAGGAGATGTTGGTAGTGGTGTTCTTGGCTTGGCAGTTGGGACAGCAGAGCGTCGAGGCCGCCCACCACCGGCCACCGCGCCCAGAACACGCTGCCCTGGTGCTTGGAGAAAGGGCAGGCTACTGACAGAAGCGATCCGTCCTTCTCTCGTGGTCCCTGGATGGGACATAATATCTTGGCGCCAAAACTTGGATCTGCTTCAGCAAAGCATGAGCTTGCTCTGTTTCAAGAAAAGAGAGTAGCGAGGCAGAGCAGCACCGCCCCTATCTTGGGCTGTTGTTGGGCTGCGGAGACAAGGATGGGCATAGGCAGCAGCTGTGCGCGGCACGGCTTCGGTTTTCTTCTGCTGGCCCACGTAAGTGAGAGTCTGTTCGGCGTCCAGCTAGCTCTTAGGCCTACTCTTACACAGATTCCATGGCGCGCGCTAGGTTGCGCTCGAGCGGAGCCCGCAACCCCTGCAGACCACGGCTTTTGTAGGTTTGGCGAAAAAAAGTAGCAAATAATTACACTGATATCAATTGGAATGTTTTCTGAATTTTATAGCATTTTTATATTTCCATTTTTGTACAGCTAAATCTATTTTTAAGCATCCCAGATATTTTCATGAACTCTAAATAGTTTATTTGGATTATTCGTGTCTCAATATATATCTAGAATTTTTTCTTCAGATTTTTTAAAAGCTTAGAGAAATTTTCCATTGTTTAAAAACCTTATCAAGTATTTACCTAAATTTTTGTAACTAAAAATTGATAAAACCATTGTTGGGGGCAACATCCTTCGCTTGAGGCCCCTGTTCACTAGCTCAGCTAATTGAGGTTTCTGGATGTGTCGACGCTCTTTGTTTCGTAGGGAATGGGAAACTCATCGTCGCAAAGACACCAAGAACGTGCAAAGCTTTTCCAACCCAATGGTACCGAGGAAGCTCTCTTCGCTCGGAATGAGGGAGGCATGGCGAAGCCCAAAGATCTCGTGCGAAGTCTACAATGTCGTGAAGGTCGCAGGCAGAATTCATGGGTGTGATAACTAGGGCGATGCATCAAATGATCAAAGTATCAATCTGGCGAAGGCTGGTGCGAGAGAGGCTACTGCCTGGTAGTCAAACCTGTCTTTGACTCGGTTGTAGTGAAATGGACCGTGATGCCCCCGCTAGTATAGAAATAATCTTGGCACCTTGAGTTCCATCCTGATTGAAATCTAGCCTTTGCTAGAGATGCCAAAGCACTCTGATCTACTGCCACTTCTCCGAGTAGCTTTTATTTCCCAAACAGCTCCCTATGTGTTTACTCTTTGGCCTCATGAGTCATGAGACATGGCTGTAAGAAGAGCCACTACAATTTGGCTAACATTTAAGTTAAATGCATACTAAACATACATGGAGGTATTTAAAAAACAATAAAAACAATAGATATAGATAAAAGTATATCTGTGATCGATGAGTTTATCACAACTGACGAGAGACTATAGAGTATCTTATGTATATTGTGTTAGGAAATAAAAAAAAAGAAAAAAAACATGCAAATTGAAGTAAGTAATTTTTATTAGTAGTAGGTATTAAGCATTAACATTTAATACTTATGCACAAGATTTTAGCCCGTGCAGGAGCATAGCAGCCTGTTCGGTTGGCTGGTTCGTTTCGTTGCTGGTTTGTGAAGAAGTACTGCTGGCTGGTTTGTGTGAGAGAAAAATACTGTTCCAGCTAAAAATTTACTATCGTTTACGACAAGCCACAGCCAAACGAACAAGCTATAGATCGATGGACTAGTATTTTTAAATTAACAGAAATCCCAATTCCCAAATGACATGTAGCTCATAAATAAAAGAAATGTTTGCGCGTAATTTTCATGGTAATTTGCTTAAGTAAATATATATGTACGGACACACTCCATTCTTCAATCTGAAGCCATGCAGAATTTATGCCATTCCCTTCGCTGCTGGACGTGTCGATGTGTCACCTCAATCGCTAGCACAATACATGTTCAGCGACCAACGAACTGGACCTGAGGAAAGTAAAATCAACATGACATTTAGGAGTGATCCTAGCATGCTGCCGCGCCCAAAAGGACCCCAAGAAGCCACAGAAAACCATACCTCATGTATGCAAAATCGGGGAATAGTAGCTAGCATCATTGCATCAAAGCCTTCAGCCAGCGAATTCATTCTCTTCGTTGGAAACAATTCTTCGCCTAAAGTTTTTCTCATCATTTGATATGATAGTAAACTTTTTAATGTGGCTGATCTTCATAAGTTCTTCCTCGCATTCATTTGCCAACTGTATAAGCTCAACTGCCGTATTTACCAAATGTAATTCATCAAGCATCGTAAGATACTTGAGGCCATGCGGTAGGCGCTTGAGTTCTGGGCACTCCACAAACCATAGCTTAGCAAGGCTTCCCAGTGCATCTTCTTCTATTTCAACTCGGTTGAGCCGTGGAGCACAATATACTCGTAATTCTTTCAGTCTTGAGAATGACTGTGAAGGAAAGCATAATGTCTGTCCATCATAAGCCTTGTCAAGGGTAATTAAGCATAAACTACGCAACACCATGAGGGTAGGAAATGAATTCTCATCAAGTTTGGAGGACATCAGATAGAGTTGAGTGAGATTGTTAAGGTGCAACCAAGATGACAGAATATGAGGCATTCGTTTCTTTTTGAGCTTCCCTGTCAGTCCAAGTTTACAAAGACTTTCTGGTAAACAGAGTTCTTCCGGTGGCAATACCTCATTTGTATCTGACATACTAGTAATTGACAAACTGACAAGATTTCTCATCTTCAGAAGAGCATTCCTCAAGATTAATGAGTGTTCACTTGTAACATCGTCAACTGAAAATGTCCGTAACTCTGTCAAAGCTGCAACATCACATAGAGTCTCTGAGGTAGCTTTAACATTTTGCAGAGCATGCAGTCCTGTCAAGTTCTTTATGCCCCTAGGCATCTTCACTCCACGATTACGCGAGAAAGATCCTTCAGTGACCTTTACAGTTGCATATAGGTATCTAAGCTTTACCAGTTTAGCTACATCATTTGGTAAAGATAGCAGACAAGTAAACCATGTATCCAGTACTTCTAAGTTTGCTAATCTTCCAATGGCCTCTGGCAGAACCTCAATTTTGGTATTTCTAAGGCCCAAGAAACGCAGATTAAACAAGCTAAAGATCTCATTAGGCAGCACCTTGATTTCAGTACCTTGCAGATCCAGTGTTGACAACAAAACTTGAAGGACCGAAAGCGGCGACCAGAGGGGGGGGTGAATGGGAGCCACAAAATTTCTTTCGAAACTTTCTCGACCACTGTCCCAAAATCACCGCCCAACTTACAAATCAAACACCGTGATGTCCACGACCCAAATAAGTGGGTGGATGTTCCCTAGGAACACAGCGGGACATCACAAAGCCAACACAACAAATAGAAATTCAATCGGAGACTCGAAGCGAACAAATTTACGGACCAAAAGCGTGTGCTCGGCAAATAGACTAATCAGCAGCACCAGCACTTAACCCTTTCTAGATCAGGACCGAGCACATGCTCTCTGTAGTCCTATACCAGTGGATCACCTTAGTTCACGATGAGAACATTGTAGCAAGGAACTGCACTTGCTAGCGGCGAGAAATCATTCGCACATGAACTAAACAAGCTAAAGAATCAAGTAATCATTAGCCTACTGTAGCTTGAAAGTGACCACTCACAAATTTGGATACCAAATCACGTTCGTGTCTAGTACTTGGTGTAGCAATGAATTACCTGCTGCTGTCAAACAACAATGAATGATCGCAAATGCTCATCAGCAGCTGGCTGAACGATCCTGCTGCTGCCAGAGAACCAATTGCTTGACAAGAGAGAAATCGAGCTTGACCAGGCAGCTGAGAATCGGATCTGCTGCCCTGGAGTCCTGACCACTCGACACGGGAAGCGGAACAACGAAGAGAACAGCCGGCGGTGGGTCTGCTCGCCACGGTATCGCAAAATAGAAAAAAGCGACTGAACTTGACACCAGAAATTGATGCACGTACTGAGCGGGAAAGCGGTTCCTCGCGATGGGAAGCGAAATGGATCACCGGAGATTATAGGCGAGCACAACTCTGGTGGTGAGTGCGCACGGCACCAGAGTGTCGGCGTGGATTGTGCTTGTTGCTGAACTCTGCTGGTACCTCCCTTGCACCTGCTTCCACGCATGATTTAACAGAGAAGAACAACAGCAAGAACAGAAAGACGGACAGCCAAAAATCCGACGAAAAACGGATCAAATCAAAACAACTCGACCCCAAATTTTGCACAGACCAAATTGAACTAGCTACGAACAAATTCCCAAAGAATCATCTCCTGGGACCAACCCAAACTCCGGAAATATAAGATCGCGGCCATGAACGAAAATGGGAAAAATAGCACTACATGAACACGAAGAATCACAGTCAAAATAGATGAATCCCAGAGGACACGAGGAGGATTTGGGCCTCCATTCCCAAACTAAAACCAAGCAAAAACCACCCACGAATTTCTCAGCTCTTGGACCTCTCTCAAGAGTAAGAAACCCTAAGTCTAAAAGGAGAAAAAGAAAATGAAAGAGAGGTAAGGGAGATGGGGCTCCCTCATCCTATTTAACAGGGCTATTACACATTCCCAGTTTTGCCCCTGGATACAAATGAGTTGAACCGCTAAGCCCAATGGCGTTGTTGTCCAACCCGGTGTAATCTTGATCCGACGGCCACCACGCCTACTCACCGGTAGCTTCGCCTCGACGCGAACTCCCCGATGCCGCCACGTGCCGTCCGTCCCTCCTCGGAACCTCCGCCCGGGTTTTGAGGCCCAAACCCGTAAACCGTCTCATGGTAGGCGTACTTCATCTGGCGTTTCCCGCCATCCGACGTGTGTCACCACCGTCCTCGACCGGCCGCCCGCCAAGTCCTCCCCGAGCCTCGCTCGACTCACGCGTCCGCCGTCTTGACCCGGTCAACACCGTCACTCCATGTCTTCTTGCACTTGTTGATGTTCCAAGTGTCAGCCACCGCGGCTAGTCGTCCGGCCTCACGGTCCCTCGGTCCAAGCCTCACGTCCGTCCTTCACCGCTCTCGGTCCGTCGGCACGGCACGTCCTCCTTGACCTTCACCTCGCCGTCAACTACCGCCTCCGTGCTCCACACCTACACACCACGAGCCAAGAGACATGCACACATAGCTTTCGCCATGGTAGAGTTAGTAACCGACTCAACCTATTCGTGGATCACATTGACAATCACTCATCACACAAAACGAACACACAAGGGTACTTGTCAACCTTGTGTTCGCAATCTCCCTTGATGAGTGCATTGTCAACACCACCACTACTACGAATAGCTTGAGCAAAAAAAAAAAGAAGAGAAAGAAAGAACTCACCCAAATGACCAAAAGCCAAAGAAAAGCCAAAAAGCGGGTCATTTGAAAGTGAGCAAAACTTGGTCCCCAAAGACATGGGCAGCGGCTCGACGCAACCAAGTAAAACAAAGCTAGCCCTCAAGAAGAGGCGTAAAAGCGGGCTCAACACCACTAGCAAAGCTCAAAAAACACGAAAAACTGCTAGACCCTCCAGGAAGAGGCAAAGGCTCAACACATCTAGCAAAAACAACTCAAATGCAACTCCCCTTGAACAAGTGTAATCTCTCTCTCAACTGAAAGTGAAATCTCAAAGTTTCTTCCCCTTTCAAAATTGTCCCCTTTGTGGAAAACTCTCTCCCCTTGTTGACACATGCACTTATCAAGCTAGACCCCAAAGATTGCATCTCCCCTCAAATCATGCTATGAATGCGAGAAATGCACGAATGCGAGAAGCTTCAAGATTATAGTAAATAGATTGAAAAGAGGCTCTAGTTGATCTTTGTCATGTATATATAGCAACACATACAAGTGCTAGCAAATGCTCAAAGTGACCAAATGAGACGAAATATGGCATTTAAGCAAGTTTGATCAAGTTTGAGCAATTTTAAAAGAGGGTTCACCACCAAAAGAGCACATAGCAAAAAATAGACGGGAGATCGACCTTGTGCTACACATGTATGCAAAGTGAACTACCCCAAACAAAGTTCACACATCATGTCATGAAACAAACTTGTGGTTTGATCAGATTTTAGATACCAATTGAAATTTATCGAGTCATGCAAAACTTATTACCCAAGTTTGTCGGACAATGTGTAAAAGGGAGGTTATCTGTACCATCAAAACCTGACTTAGCGACCATGTCAAGCCTATGCCAAAAGCAATCGGAAGCTTAAGACAATGATCTCGGTATCCATTCTGAGCTCAAGTTCACCAATAAGTGCAATTTGAAGTGTCTCGATACTCGACATAGGATAGTCACAGACCCATCCCGATCTTTTCAATTCACTTAGTTTGTTTTTCAAGTTTTAGCACAAATTCAAGTTTCTCAAGCAAGTGTGTAACTCAAAGTATGAGCCGTAGCAACTAAGCATATATATGAAGCAAAGAAGATCTCGACACATTCTACACATGCTAGTTGCCACAAGTAGTGGTGAACACATTTCATGTTTTAACAAGTTTTAATCAAGTTCACAGTTTGGAAAACAAGCTTAGCTCATAACATGCATCAATTGATCAAAAGGAGCCTAAGTCAATAGCACATCATGTATATCCATACCATCCCCAACAAGGGCATAGTGTCAATCTAGCTACTATAAGGATGAAGCTCGGGATGCGATATGATACATGATGATATGATATGCAAGTATGATGTAAAATATAAAACAAAAGCTAAACTACAAAGAAAAGCAAAACTAGAATACAACAACCAAAGTTCCCTCCTCTAAAAGGAAACAAACTCCAAGCTCCCGCAAGCAAGCGAAGCAAACGGGCTTGGTCAAGTGGTTTGGTGAAGATATCTGCGAGCTGGTTTTGGGTATCAATGTGGTGCAGATCAATATCACCTTTCTCATAGTGGTCACGCAAGAAGTGAAAGCGAACTTCTATGTGCTTTGTCTTTGAGTGAAGAACTGGGTTTTTGGCTACACTTATGGCACTGGTGCTGTCACAAAACAAAGGCGCTCGCCTAAACTCTAACCCAAAGTCTCTCAGAGTAGCTATCATCCAAAGCAACTGGGAACAACAAGCAGCAGCCGCAATATACTCAGCTTCTGTGGTGGATTGGGCGACGCTAGACTGCTTGCGAGAAGACCAAGACACAAGAGAAGATCCAAGAAACTGACAAGTCCCCGAAGTGGACTTCCTCTCAACACGACAACCAGCATAATCCGCATCAGAATACCCGCAAAGAGAAAGAGAGGAGGAGGCCGAAAACCAAAGACCAAACTCGGGTGTGAAACGAAGGTACCTGAGGATCCGCTTGATGGCTTGACGATGAGACGCGATGGCGAAGATCGAAAATCAGCGCACAAGCAGATCTATGAATCGGATGTACGGTCTCGTCGCCGTTAGGGTACAATGAGGGACCGATCATGCTTCGGTATTCCTTACGGTCCACGGCTTCTCCCTCCTTGTCCTCATCCAGGGCCGTCGTGGTTGACATGGGCGTTGAAAGAGGCTTGGCCTCACCCATATCAAATTTCTTGAGCACGTCCTTGGTGTACTTGCCTTGGTGCACGAACGTCCCCTCACGAGTTTGCTTGATTTGCAGCCCGAGGAAGAAAGTCAATTCGCCCATCATGCTCATCTCAAATTCCCTGCTCATAGTATCTGAAAACTTGGCAACAAGAGCATGAGAAGAGCCACCAAAGATTATATCATCCACGTATATCTGAACCAAAAGGATGTACGTGCCTTGCTTGAGGAGGAACAAAGTCTTATCTCTGGAACCCATCCTAAAACCCTTATCAAGCGGGAAAGCTTTCAAGCGCTCATACCAGGCTCTTGGGGCTTGTTTCAAACCATACAAGGCTTTGTGAAGTTTAAAAACATGGTTGGGGTACTTTGGATTTTCAAAGCCGGGGTTGCC